AAAGACCCAGAGCTCTCTTTAGATGGTACTCCACTTAAGGTTGTAAAAGAAGCCAAATTTTTTGGATTGATTTTCGACCACCATTTTACGTTTTTGCCACATATCAAATATTTAAAGACTAATTGCCTGAAGGCCCTAGATTTATTGAAAGTTGTCTCAAATTCAAAGTGGGGAGGGGATCAGACAACCCTTCTCCACATATATAGATCTCTAATTCGCTCTAAGCTGGACCATTGCGTATGCTGGAGCTTCCAAGAGTAATTTAAAAAAACTGGATTCAATCCACCATCAAGGATTAAGACTTTGTCTTGGTGTTTTTCGAACTTCCCCGGTTGACAGCCTATATGTCGAGGCTGATGAACACTCTTTAAAACAACGCCGAATTAAATTGTCTCTCCAGTATGTTACTAAATTACGTTCCAATCCCTCAAATCCTGCTTATGACTCCGTTTTTAATCCCCTCTATGAGGAACTATTTCAGAAGAAACCAAAGCTGGTTCCACCACTTGGAATTCGTCTCAGATCTCATATTAATGCTGCAAATTAAGATCGACATCGTCTTTTGTAGGTTGCACAGTCATGTGGGCATAAAAGGCAACACAATGGCTGATGCAGTTGCTAAAGCAGCTCTCAACAAATCTGTGACACCACTTCTACTTCCATACAGTGATTATAAACCTGTGATCAGATGTTACATCAGAGAACTTATGCAAGAGAAGTGGGACACCCAAATAGGAATTAATAAATTACATCAAATAAAGCCAACTATTGGTTACACCTACTTGGGTTGTCAGTCCAGATTTGACGAGGTCATTATGCGACGATGTCGTATTGGCCATTCCAGATTTACTCACGAGTATTTATTGAAGGCTGATGATCCTCCATTTTGTATCCCTTGTGATGAAAGAATAACCATCAAGCATATCCTGCTTGACTGTGTTGATTTTTCCATCACAAGGGATAAGTATTTCAAAGTTACTTCGACAATTGCGTTAGTTCTCATTTAATTTTTTTTTCTTTTTAAAGAAATAGAATTGTATAATAAATTATGTTGATATGTCGTGTCCAAAAACTGACTTTTAAATTTAGGTGAAATATATTTATATCTGAGATTGTTATTGGCTGTATCCTCGAAGGGGGTTAAAGTAGTGTAAAATTATAGTCCCCCTGAGAGGATATTGTAAGTCACTTTCATTCAATGAATATTTATATCTCCTAGTATTTTAATCGTAGTATATCTGTCGTTTTAATTTTGGCTAAAAATGCGCTCAATCGCCAGTGACTGAGGATATGGTATAAATCCTGCTGGGGTCCATGCAGGTAGCAAAGGTACTGTAAGTCCCCATGGTCCCCAGTATGGTGATCTATCTTCAGTGGTTGGCGATCAATAGCCCGTTTTTATCATATCTTGTGTATTGTTACATCTTTTTATAGTTCAATACTAGTTTTATATTCATATCTGTGATAGTCTTGTTTGTTTTACTGTCTTTGTTGACAGGTTTTTATATAGTCAAAATATATTTATTATTGCTTGTATAAATTGATCTCGTCACTTTATGGCTGAAATATTGCCGATGTGACGTTAATTCTTAACTCACTCACTCACTATTTAACATTTATCTAATATATAAACTATCGGGCAAAAGAAAGTTTTCACCGACTTCACTTGACCAAACACCAAAAACAAAGGCATATGTGAGATTTATGATGATTAATTTATGAACAGAAATCATTTTCCATGATTTAGAATGAAAATGCATTGTAATGCCGATATTGCATTCTCCGCAATACACAAAGAAAGAGTCAAAGAGTCCAAATTAAAAATTACACAAATCAGAGTTCATTGAAAAAGTGCATGAAGAGTCCATTAATGACACGGTAGTCAGGTAACACGTCACCAATAGCGAGTGTGACCACCCTGACCATCCATGCACGCCAACACACGCCTCCTCATTGACGTCGTCAGTCGGCGGATAACGTCAACAGGAATCCTGTTCCATAAGTTCAATAGAGTCTGTTCAAGTTCCTGGAGGCGGTACATGTTGTCTCAGCTGACGATCAAGATGATCCCAGAGATGTTCAATGGGGTTCATGTCTGGAGAACAAGATGGCCAGGGCAATACGTTGACGTTAACGTTGTTCAGGTAGTTTTGAACAATTCGGGCGGTGTGAGGCCTTGCGTTGTCTTGTTGCAAAATTAATCCTCTTGGCTAATGTTGAATAAAGGGCACAACAACAGGTCTCAACACTTCATCCCTGTATCGCTGAGCATTCAGGTTTCCTCGGATGATAACCAGCCATGTTGTATTCTGGCCACAAAAGCCACCCCATACCATGACGCCTCCACCTCCAAACGGGTGAACTTCTCTAATGCAGTTTGTCGCCAGTCGCTCTCCCCTTCGTCGAAAAACTTGAACTCTGCCATCGTTCCTGAACAGACAGAACTGACTTTCATCTGTAAAGAGCACTCTCGCCCAGTCACGTCGCTGCCACCGACGTACAATTCGTGCCCATTGCAGTGTGCGTTGACGGTGTAGACGGGTCAAGGCCATTCCACGGAAGGGTCGGTAGGTTCGTATACCAGCCGTAGGAAGTCGTCGAAGGACTATTCGTCTGCTTATGGCATGCCCTGGTGCTGTTGCCGCAGTTGACGTCGCCGTCACACATCTGTTTCGGAGGTGAATCTGCCGGATGTAGCGGTCTTCGGCTGGTGTTGTCACTCTCTGTCTTCCCGATCTTGGCCGGTCTTGAGTCTGTCCTGTCTGTTGGTAGCGGATTATGCTGATGGTGGTCTGGGAGCAGTTGAAGGTTCTGGCTATCTGACGTAGCCCCCATATTGGCCATACCGATCGCTCTGTCTCGTTGCGCTTGTGTAAGTCTGGGCATATTCTTAGTGGTTTTTTTGCTTACTGAATCCTGCTCTGTCCGACGTTGGTATTTATGCCACAATCACGCACGTGCACTTGGACCAATGTCTCAAAATCACGTTTTGCACGTTTTCAACAATGCATGATTTGGAGAGCTGCGTTCGAAAATCTGCGTTGTGGTTGTGGTCATGTTGCATTTGGGCGAATGTTTTCTGCGGGGGTTCAACCCTGTACCAGCTTTTTTGCTTTTTATACAACTATTTTTAAAGTGAAAACTTTCTTTTGCCCGGTAGTTTAGATAGATAGATAGATAGATAGATAGATAGATAGATAGATAGATACAAATTGCTTATCTCATTGGAAACCTAGAACATTATAGCTACATATTCAATAATGCATAACAGAGGTGTGGAGAAAAAAGATGTAATCACGTTTTGTGTTTTATTTTCGTTTCATGTAGTGCTGCGAAGTAATAATGTCTATATGTACATGGCTATTCATGCGTCTACCTTCAATCCGTGTTTGCTGTATTAGGTATTGAATTCCACGATCCACAGAATAGACCAACTGTATATAACACAGAAATAGATCATATATATATACACGGTTTCACGGGGGGAGAGAGGCCAACCCTTTAGTACTGTCCATATTTGTCGGATATATGTGCGATTGTGCCATTCCTTTGCTCACATATTGGTAAAATGACAGGTCTTAGTTAGTACTCTCTTACATGCAGTGTAACAAAGAAACAAACTGACATCACTTACGGCTTGATTAGATTTCCCCCACGCTCCAAGTTCACACTGCATTTCCTACGCTATCATTGATTGCATTAAAGGGAGCGTGTCGAATGATGTCATTACTTTATGAATACACCAGCAAGAAATGATCCCTTCATTGCAGGAAACAGCCCTATCGAAGACGCAACAGAGAAGCCTGTACAATATGCCATAACATTAAGTAATGTTATTGAGCTTTCAGTGTGAAGATAGGGATATAATCCCCGAAAAGCTAATCCCTGTAAGTTTCGGTTTATTCCAGACATAGTAAACATATTTTATACATTTTCCCTGAAATGAAAATCATTGGTATATTCTTTGTTGTTTTCTTCCTTCCTTCCTCAGTAAAAAAGAACGGAATTGAATTAAGAACGCTCTTTAGCATGTCTTCGCTAGGCGAAATTTGCTCCAGTTACCTTTCTCCATATCAATCAAATCATACAACTCATGACGATGCTTGTAAAAAAGCACAAACCAACATATTTGTCAAAGGATTTGTTTCTTCATGATTTACTTGATTGGCACTGAAAGGTGCATAACAACTTTCCTTTTGAACATTTACCTATATTGCGTCAACTCTATCTTACTGGTGATCACTGTTAGAAAGACTATGCAAAAGCGTTGAATCATTCATGGAATGCCAAATGTATCCCTGTAACATGTATAGTCCATAAATTACAGTATATAGCTACAGATGCGAAATGGGGATTACCTGATGTACCAGATGTCACAGATCATGCTTTGGCTCTGTGAACAATAGTCGGAAATGTCGTTACAGTGTTGATAGGTACATTAAACCTGTGTGTTTGATGCATAGCCTTGACACTTTCACAACGAGCAAGGCGTCCTGGAATGGATATTTCAAACTTAAATCGTGAAAGTTTAGAACAGTGAAGATGACTTGGAGAAGGTAGCTATGGTGTCATTACTGCGATAATTCAAATGTATTATCTAGGTCAGTAAGTTTGTAAAGAGTTTAAGGTATATAGAAATAGAGTACGATATATCTTCACCCCTCCTATATCTTTCATTTGACAATGAGAGAGCGGTGTGAATATTTACTTATTGTGTAGGGGTCTGTTTATACCTGTCTATGTTTTATAACGTATAGCTCTCATAGGCATATATATACACACACACACACACACACGCACACACGCACACACGCACGCACGCGCACGCGCACACACACACACACACACACACAAACACACAAACACACACACACAACCCTGGTTACACTGGTGTGTTCACTTCATCATCGCTCGAAGAAACGAACAAGGAGTTTATGTAAGACTCGACAAATTCTGCACCATGGTGAACCACATGTTGATCAACACTTCAATATTCCGAGAAACTATCTGTCCATGACAAAAGCTAGCAATAAGTCTAGAAATCTGAGTATATGTTTATTTTCAAGTAAGAATGAACGTATTTGTACTCACTCAATATAACATTTGAAAGAAAATATCTCGACTCCTGTAACCATGTATCCCCACTTTCCTCCTCCGAAATTCCTCATCTGATAATGGAATCAAAGTATACAACAAGCCATTACTAAACAACAACTAACGTTTTAACGTTAAGGTAATAGGCCGTGGGCTAGGTATGACCCACGAGCACCCCCCCCCCCCCCTATCCAAACCCAACCATTTTTTTTTAAAGCCCATAATGATACTAAAAATGATTTTGAATGTTAACAAGAAAAAAGTTGGGACGAACTTGTTGTTACAGCCTTTCAAAGTATGGTACCCTATATCGCGTTTTCGCCCGGTTTTGCCGTATATCACTTGGGGGTATGATTACGTTTTGGGTTGTCATCACACTAGTGATCCACTGATCTTCAAGTGTGATATACCACTGGAAGTCATATATAAGTACCTCTCCAATGAGGTTTCAATAGTTGGTATTGAGTGAATATGGACCAATCCATGGCAAATCGAACGTCATATATCCCGACAAAACCAAATTCTTCTCGCAGAAACCTTTAATCCGGTATATGTTCTAGGTACGTGTGCCTGATTCCACTTTAATCGTCTAACACGTGTTCCAGTACATCTCTTGAAGTACTTCTTAACATGTGATGTTACCAGGTGAAAATCTTTTGCACAATTTGGAACAAATTTACTCTTATAATATCAGAGTAGGATACCCAATATTGCATTCTCGGCTTAGCTACATCGGAACAACGCTTGGATGTATGCTCAGGATTTGGCTTGTCATCTTGTGTGTTATTCACCGATCTCGATGTGTTATATACCACAGGAAAACATATATAAACACCATAATTTGATGTAGGCTGATTATTGATCTACTTGTGGACAATCAAACAGAATACTTCTTGACAACTCTGATATCACTCACTTTTGTATGCATATAAGAGGTTCACAGTATAATGCTCGAGTCAATTTCAGAACTTTGAATGAAATGGACCTATGTGTAACATATCCAAGATGGCAACCATAAAGCTGTGCAAAAAACTGATCATAATGTTAATGTAATTTCAGCAAATATACAAATCAATTTCTTGGACGCTGGCTTGATATTTTGACAAATTTGGCCATATCAAGTTGAGTTTCAGATTCTTTAGTACAGCTACTAGTTAAGGTGAATTTGCAGGGGGAAGCACCGAAGGTGAAAGACGAATTCACTTACTAACATTTAATTCATACATAACTTAGCTACTTAAGTTTCCAATTTACAGAAAATGTCCAAATGCGAATCGTCCAAATCGTATATGAATGGCTTGAAATGAACAGGGACCATGCATTCACAGAAATAAAGGATATTCCAATTACATACTTAAGATTCTCTTACAGAATACCCAAGTTAATATATATGGAAATGTCCCACCTTGTAACAATGTCATCACCGTGATTATGTGTCTTTTGAGGTTGAACTGTTGTTACTGAGACCAACATCTTATACAACCGGGAACAACTCGAAGACAGCTTTGACATGTCAACCTAAAAGGAAACGTATCCCCAGTGATCCAGAGCCTGTGTGCATCATACATGTACCTGGCTTAAAGTATGGCCCAGTACAACGTCTGAGCAAAGCCATAGATCCCGACGAGAAGATCGAAAAGCTGAAGGAGAGATCAAACGTAGAAGGATGGCAGAACCTCCAGAAACGCCAAATCAAATGGAAGTGTCATGTTCAAGCCTGCCGGCAGTTCTGGAAGAAACCCATGGCTATCACAGAGAATATTATCAGCATTTTACAATGAACCTTGACCGTTTGAAACAACCTGAAATTGAATCTTTGGAACTAGCTGGCCGCCCAATTCGGCGTCCATCCTATGAGCCCATCATCTTCCAACCTGAGTGCATCTTTTGTACTTTGTATTCATGAAAAAAATTCAAGTCAAAAGGAAGCTGGACAACAGAAGGCCTCACAAACTTCAGTCGGGATGGATGGCAGCATGTCATCGAAGTAGCTCAACGTCAAAACGATGAGCCTCTCCTGCTGCGGATCAGATGGAAGGACCTATTTACCTGTAAAGCAAAATATCACAAGTCGTGCTGAACTTGTTACAAACAGATTCCTGAGAAATGGCGGAAGCTCACAATCGTCTGAAGTTATCAAAAGCAAGATACTGAAAGAGAAGAAGATCTACTAAAGATGCATACCGATAGTCTTCAGGACACTGCTCACCCAAACCCAGACTACAGGAGTACAAGGTTAAAGAAGAAAATTGAGAACTACGAGCCCTACCAAGACAAATTGGCATTTTGTCACATGGGACATTTCCAATCATTCATCGTGTACAACAGATTGATGTTGACTCAGCTGTACGAAACGCCTACCAATTAGGTTCGACTGACACGCTTGCACTTTTCTTCTTTAACTTGGTACTCCTGTAGTCTTCTCTTGCAGTTTCTTGCTGTTGATAACTCCAGACACTGATATCATGGCTTTCTTGTGTGCCTCTTCTATTTGATACTGTCTAAGTTGTTCCTACGGTTGAGAGCTCCGCCATTTCTCAGGAATCTGTATGTAACCAGATCGGGACGCCCTGTGATATTTTGCTTCACAGCCAAATGGGTCCTTCCCTCTGGTCCGCAGCAGGAGAGGCTCATAGTTTTGACGTTGAGCTACTTCGATGACATGCTGCCATCCATCCCGACTGAAGTTTGTGAGGCCTTCTGTTGTCCAGCTTCCTTTTAACTTGAATTTCTTTCATGAATACAAAGTACAAAAGATGCACTCAGGTTGGACATTTCTGGAGGTTCTGCCATCCTTCTACGCTTGATCTCTCCTTCAGCTTTTCGATCTTCTCATCGGGATCTATGGCTTTGCTCAGACGTTGTAGTGGGCCATACTTCAAGCCATGTCAAAGCTGTCTTCGAGTTGTTCCCGGTTGTATAAGATGTTGGTCTCAGTCACAACAGTTCAACCTCAAAAGACACATAATCACGGTGATGACATTGTTACAAGGTGGGACATTTCCATATATATTAACTTGGGTATTCTGTAAGAGAATCTTAAGTATGTAATTGGAATATCCTTTATTTCTGTGAATGCATGGTCCCTGTTCATTTCAAGCCATTCATATACGATTTGGACGATTCGCATTTGGACATTTTCTGTAAATTGGAAACTTAAGTAGCTAAGTTATGTATGAACTAAATGTTAGTAAGTGAATTCGTCTTTCACTTTCGGTGGTTCCCCCTGCAAATTCACCTTAACTAGTAGCTGTACTAAAGAATCTGAAACTCAACTTGAAATGGCCAAATTTGTCAAAATATCAAGCCAGCGTCCAAGAAATTGATTTGTATATTTGCTGAAATTACATTAACATTATGATCAGTTTTTTTGCACAGCTTTATGGTTGCCATCTTGGATATGTTACACATAGGTCCATTTTTATTCAAAGTTCTGAAATCGACTTGAACATTATACTGTGAACCTCTTATATGCATACAAAAGTGAGTGATATCAGAGTTGTCAAGAAGTATTCTGTTTGATTGTCCACAAGTAGATCAATAATCAGCCTACATCAAATTATGGTGTTTATATATGTTTTCCTGTGGTATATAACACATCGAGATCGGTGAATAACACACAAGATGACAAGCCAAATCCTGAGCATACATCCAAGCGTTGTTCCGATGTAGCTAAGCCGAGAATGCAATATTGGGTATTCTACTCTGATATTATAAGAGTAAATTTGTTCCAAATTGTGCAAAAGATTTTCACCTGGTAACATCACATGTTAAGAAGTAATTCAAGAGGTGTACTGGAACACATGTTAGACGATTAAAGTGGAATCAGGCACACGTACCTAGAACATATACCGGATTAAAGGTTTCTGCGAGAAGAATTTGGTTTTGTCGGGATATATGACGTTCGATTTGCCATGGATTGGTCCATATTCACTCAATACCAACCATTGAAACCTCATTGGAGAGGTACTTATATATGGCTTCCAGTGGTATATCACACTTGAAGATCAGTGGATCACTAGTGAGATGACAACCCAAAACGTAATCATACCCCCAAGTGATATACGGCAAAACCGGGCGAAAACGCGGGGGGGGGGGGGGGGGGGGGGGTGCTCGTGGGTCATACCTAGCCCACGGCCTAGTTGTCATCTGTTTCTGAACTGAATATTATGCTTATAAAGATAAGTAAAAAAAACATTAAAAAGGGACTCTGGTATTCTTTCAGGTTTGGAGAATCAATCAGTTCATTGTGAAAACATTTTTAATTTCTTACATAAGTTACTTTGATCTTGATAAGATCAAAATAGATCCAAATTAAATTGAGGAGGATTAAATTAAGCAGTCTTATTCATTTCAGCCAGTCTGTCTAAAATCAGGTCCAATTTTTCAGGCAATAATAAATGAATGAAAATTTAAGAAAAAATATGCCTTACCTGAGTGAATCAGTCAATATGCATAGATAAACTTTCATATTCATATAAATATACTTTATACTACAGGTGTCTTGAAGTACTGTTGAATGAAAATCAGGATACTTAGGATAGTGTGTGGGTTTGTATTGCAAATCGAGTAACTGAGTGCTCAATTGATGCATGGTAGATGTTCATTTGGCCTATTTCTAAAAAAAATAATGTAAATTTAAATATTCAGATGCAACTTTAATTTTGATATAAAAAGATACATTTAAAATCAGTTGTTTTATTATTGTGAACGTTATTTCTTCTTAAAATTTGTAGAGGCACGGATGTATACTTACTATATAGATCATTGGTAAAGGCCTGTCAAAGATGTCTCTGTGCTGCAAATGTTGGCGTATCACTAATTTTATTACATTGAAGTCCATGGTAGTATTTGTTGAGATTTGAATGCTTGAATTGTTGTGGGAAATAACACAAAGGCTGATAAATAAAATGAGTTTGCATTATTTCATCGATGCAATTTGTTAGCCCAGACCGACTAATGCCTCGCTGTTTTCTGACGTAGAAAATACCGTGGCAATATACCATTTTTCATGACGTTTTTCCCGCTATATTCCAAAGTGACAATTCGTCTTGTAGTTGAAGACTCAACAAAT